CTGTCCTGGAGCCATATTCCCAGGAATTTTGGCCTGAAGGGGTACTGACCCAGACTGCAAGAAGCGCTGGTAACCAAGTTGACAGGCACTTCCTACATGTACGTGTTTCCGAGGGCATTTCCCCAAGGCTCTGAATCCTCCAGGGCCTCCAGAAGCCTCCTGCTTCCAGGGAGCCACCACTGTCCTCTAGATGTCATCAGATAATCTCCTTATAGGTTAGGACAACAGTGCTGAGAGCGCCAGTGGTGAATTCTTAGGGCTGAGCCTGTGAGAGCTCTCATACACCAGGCCCTGGGGCTTTAATGCAGAGTAGGAAACCGAGGCCGGGTTGGGGGGGTGGGAACCTCTAACCTGGTCTCACCTCCAGCCACAGCAGTGGAGCCCTCCTGCTCCATGAGCCAGTGGGGGAAGCTGACTTCCAAGGGGCTGTGGAAGCAGACCTGTGTGGAGGTTAACAGCCAAGGCTGTCTCTGGCACAGAGGAGCTGGAGAAGAGGTCACAACTAGTGGCGAATCCCTTACCTTGGTTGTCGTAGGAAGTGATGACCTGGGTCTGTTGAGGGTGCTGCTTCTCTGCCAGGTTTCCTATTTAAGGAAGACAGAGGGACCTGCAGTGACCACTGGGATGACAGTGGAATTTTCCCCGGGCAGAGCTGGGAGCTGGGTGTGTCTGTAAGAAAGGCAGGCTCATGGGGGCTGAGCTCATCCTAGGCCTGGCTTTAATACGTGCACATCCATGTGCACACCCCACACCATGCACACACAGGAATCAGCACAGTTACACACCTGAACACACAGCAGATGACTGGGAGCCCTGTACACTCACCCTCACAGCTCTCAAAAGGTGCCAGCCCAGGCTGGTTTTCTTCCCAAGAAGCTGGGGACACCTCCATGGGTTAAGTAAGCACAACTCCAGACTTTGGTGTTGCCAGGCACCATCCCCAGAATGCACAAGACGCCTGACAGTCCCACCTTTTTGTGGAGCAGGCTGAGAGGTTCCTGTCCTGATTCTACAGCTGAGGGACCTGCAGCTTGGGCTTGTTAACTTTCTGCCAGACCCTGTGACCAGGGAGAGTCAGACCTGGGACTTGAACCCCCAGTCTCCTGACTTCTAGCTCAGCCTTCAGCCTCTGTCTAAGAAGAATGGGGGCAGCCCGCCTCCTACTCCAGCCTAGGACTTGGGGTGACTTGCAGTTTGGTTCAGTTTCACAAACATTTGCAGGGCAACCACTAGAGAAATGTGTCCCCAGGACACAGAGCTGTCCTGAGCCTAGTGGGGTCAGGCTGCTGTGGAGAGATGCCCCATTCCTGCTATAGGCCATGAGAGGGAACCCACAGGCTTACCTGCCCCGCCTATGGGAGGCGTCACCTTTCACACATCTCTCCCTTTACAGCTGCTGTGAGGGCCTTGTCTTGCTGAGGTTGCCTTTGAATCTCTGCTTCGGAGGGGGAACGGCAAGGGCTGGGAAGGGCCGGGCTTGTGGCAGCCGGCAGTTCTACCACTGCTACTGCTCTGGCCAGCCATCATCTCCCCTGGCCTCCCACTGGTCTGCAGAAAGGCTATCGGGCCTGCTACTGGGAGTGCCCACTGGGACCAGTGCCTGGGCCTGGAAACAAGCATGCCTCTGGGGTGCTGGCCTGATCAGATTCCATTCGGATGACATCCCTTTCGCACCCAGCCAGATCTGCAACTCAGCGCTTCTCATGCCTGGGCCCAGACAGAAGCCAGTCATGGTGGGTGGGTAAGGCACTGAGCTGGGCTGGGCTTGCGATTGACCTGGCAAGGTCTCGCCCTGGCCTGCCTGCTCCAGCCTTCTCCTATGAGCAGACCAGCCAGGACCCTTAGACCCTGGACTGCGATAGGTTGGTCGGCCGAGGGCCAGGTCCACAGAAGCTCCATCCCAGGGTGCTGTGGTATTCTGGGCTGGAGCTCCAGGCTAGGACAGGGAGGCCACCTCCTGTGGGCACAGCTGGCTGCATTTCTGCTCGGCTGGCCGATAGGGGAAACAGGATCTGGGAAGGGAATCCTCAAGGAGGGCAATTAGCTGGCATAGCTGCTGTAGGGTATTTATAGTCAGGGCAGCACAATTGGTTTCCCTGTAGCTGTGGGGTGTCAGTCCCTGTGCTGCTAGGCAGACTTCAGCCAGGTCCAAGGAAAGCAGCCAATCACAGCAGGGGAAACCCGTTGCTGGGCAAGCTGGGAAGGGTGGCTCAGCCCAAACACCAGCTGCTTGGAAAAGTTTGCAGCACTCCAGGCTCCCCTCACCCTGCCAAAGCCCCAGCCCAAGGAGTGTACAGGCAGCAAGAGGGGCCACATATGTCCTTTGGGATCATCCCGTGCTCAGCCACTTTTGTGCACACTCCACCAGCGCAAGCCATCAGCTGCTTCCTTCTCAGATGAAAATGCCATGCAGGTTCCAGGGCTGGGCGGCTTGCTGGTTACCAGGGCTGGGCGTCTCGAGCACCAGCAAGGCAAGTGTGTACCCACAATATCGCCATCAGAAAACATAGAAAGAAGCTATAATTTTAATTTCTGCACACAGGCAAGTGTGACATTTGAAAAATAAATAAAATTTTACTTTAAATTACATGTATTGGTAGAGTGGTTGGAACCATTATCTTTTCTGGGTCCAAGGCCTCTGTGGAGCTTTTTTCCAGCCCTACATTTACCCAAAACTCTCAATTTCTGCAAGAACTACTTTACTCATCCTCTTTATCAGCTGACACACTATACTGAGACCCACTTCATGTCTTTTAGAAGAGTCTTGTAATAGTTATTGTGTCCCTTTGTGTTTGGTTGTATTTTTCCATTAAGCTTCCCCCAAATCAGGAACCCTGAAGGTGGTGAAGAGAGGATACATTCAGTATATTTCAATCTTCTCCTGATGTGATAGCATGCCCGAGAAGACACAAATAAGATGAGTTTCAGGCAATTCAGGCAAGGTAAAGAAACTGCTGTAAATGAAGATGCTGCGTCTCTTCCCTCCTACTGTGTCTCACTTGCCCCGCCCGTTGCGCACACGCACACAGGCTGGGCATGCATGGGCTGCTACGCATTTCTGTGGCTGACAGGCCTGGAGGTCTGATTCTTATCTTAATTCTCATAAGCCTGCAGCAGAGTTTCACACACTTTGGTGTCCGCTTCAGTAGAGCTGGAGCAGGAGCATAGTGAGGTTAAGGAAGCCACCTGGCCCATGCACATAGGTCAGCTGGGACTCAGAGGGGTGGTCCCTGGGGGGGAGGGTGTGTCTTGAGGATGACTTATTGCCCCCTCTTTACCTCTAGGATGTTGAGATATAGGCAATTTCTTCGCCTCTAGGACGGAGACTCAACATCCTAGTGAATGACATTATGATTACAATCATTTTAATGTAACCCCATGAGGGCAGGGGCTCTTGACTGTTTCATCCCCAACAATTAGAACCTCACCTGGCACAAGGTAAGCGCTGTAGACCTTTACTGAGCTAATGGACGAATGGATTTACTTTTAGAACTCCATCCTTCCCTTGTGTTACTGTCACAAGGATAGCAGAACATAGCTGTCCCGTCTTGTCCAATTGCTGTCCTGTTTCCCCATTTATGGAGGGTCATGGAGGGTGGTTCCTTCACACTGACATTTGATGAGTCAGTCATCTGACCTGGGGTCTGACTGAGACCCCCACTGGGGCTCTGTGAGTGGAGGTCTGATTCTTATTAGAATTCACACATGTCCACAGTGCAGTTACACTGATGTTTGTTCCTGGGGGCTGGGCTGATGAATCTCTGAAGGGCACAGAATAGGGCCCAGTATATAGTTGGTCCCTGCATAGAATTCTCAGAAGATCTTGGGCCTGTAGAGTGACAGGCACCTGGCACCAGAGAGAGAAAGCTTTGGAAGCTGACTTCTCTCAGATTTTACTGTTATTCTGGGTCCCAGGCTAGCAGGGAGCCATTGGCATCTCCCAGGCCTCAAGTAATACCATCCTAAGGCAGGCCACTGTCCTCTCTGTTCAGAAAAATATTCAAAAGATGGCTGACCTGCGTGATATGAGCAGCACCACCTCCGTGGGAACACACCCACAACTCACCATCCCAAATGATGCTCAATCAGTGAACAAGCGGGTGCTCAATCTTATGAAATTGCCTGCCGCCCACTCCTGCCTCCAGGAAATCAGGAGACCTGGTGCCATGGAAAACTTTCCAGGGTCACAGTGGCCTCAGAGGCCTGGCTGAGTCATGAGCAGCCACTTTCTGAATGGTTTGATGACTACAGCCAGTCTTCAAACAAGTGGAAACCCAATGCTTCCAGTCATTTCTCAACGTGTTGAATTCTAGAGATTAAAAAATAAAATGAAAAGAGAGAATTTACCATACAGGTCATTTCCTTCTAATTTCTGCCATTTCCGGATTCCGTTTTCGACACCTTGGAGTCCTGTGAAATAACAAGGCCTGGTGTGAGCTCTCGGTGGTGGTGAGACTCAGGCCCAGCAAGTGATGAGCGCCAGTTACAAACATATCTGGGTTAAAGTGGGGCTGGTGGAACTTAGTTCTTCTGGGATCTGAGGGAGGCTGCCCACGAATGAGATGCACTTGGGAGCATGAATGCAGCCCTCAACATTTAAGACATTTAAAAAATATATTAAAACAGTAGTTTTCAAGGGTGGCGGGGTTGGTTATTAGGACCATCCAGCGAGAATTTTTGCAATACAGATGCCCATTTCTCACTCCCATATCCCCACCACATAAATATGGAAGCATTATTGTAGAAAACATTGGCCATTCGTTTTGCCTGCCTATTTCTGTGTGTGTGTCTAAGCTCTCACTTTTAGAGTCTTGATGTGGGGCGGGGATGGGCAAAGACTGCCTATCCTTTTGGGAACTGAAAGTGATAGTTGCCTGCTCTCCCGGCCTCCCTTGCAGCTAGAGCATAGACATGTGTGGCCTAGGCATGGCTGGTCAGTGGCACCTGTGTCCAATTCCGTCTTGGGACCTGGTGAGGCAACAGGGAAGGGGAGGGAAGTACGCGTGCTCTCTCTCTTTCTCTCTCTCTCTCTCTGGTGCCGGCCGGAAGTGGTGGCTGCAAGGTCGAGTTCCTGGTACAGAACTGTCAAACATTCTGGCAGTGGGAGAAGCTGCAATGAAATCAAGTTCCTGGTGTGAATAGAGCACTGAGTGCTCCTTGGTGACAGTGGAGGTTTCCTCACCAGACTAGCTCTACGGCGCAGCTTATGGTTCTGTTCCTGGAAGCTCAGTTTCAAGCCTGGTTCTCCAGCTCTTTCAGCCATTCTGAGGCACCCCCAAACCCTCTCTTCTGCAGAGCCCTTCACAGTCAGTGTCTGGGACTTACCACTTTGGAACCCTCACTGACTCACTTGTGGAGCAGAATGCACACGTCACATCAACTTTGGGGATAAAATCTAAGAACCCTAAGACTCTTTCAGACTTGGTGCAAGCAGCTTTAGGCTGCCTCCTTCATGGCCAGAGGAATACCTGAGAGGAGTTGGGGGCCTTCGGGCATGTTTTTAAGAAGCACTGCTCTAAGGGACTGGCTGGGAACACACTAGGGCCCTAGAGGAAAGTGGGGAGAGAACCTGTTGGCCTTGCAACCCAAATCTCCTGGTGCACACGCTCCTTGCCTCCTGTCCTTCTGACTCTTTTCTGCTACAAGGACACAGCAGAAAGCCACCTGGTCACATCTTCGCTCCGTCCTCTGCATGGTGACAGTAACTGAGCTCAGGCCCTCCTTCACAGAGCTGAGGACCTGGAGTGGGTAGGAGACAGGAGGAGACTCCTGGAAGTGGGCATGGGCATGTTTCGGATCTTGTGCACCAACAAGAGGTCTTGGAGCAATCTAGTGTTGCTCAGTGTTTCCTCTCCTAAGGCTGTGTGAGTCTGCAAGCTGTCTTAGCCAGGGGTCTCTTAGACATCACCACAGCCCAGCAGTCATCGGAGTCTGTGCACCCTGCCTCTTCTGAGGAAAATCTCTGGAGAAAAATATCAGCCAAAGAGGCTCAGCAAGCAGGGTCTTCTTTCTCTGAGTCACGGTCATGAGTGTGAAGTACGGTGCTCTGGAGTCATGCAGGGTTTGTGATAGGTGTTGAACGCCATCCGGAGCACACCAGATCCCTGGCATTTTCGGGGCTTCTCTGTTCTTCACCATTTCTTTCTAGTGACAGAGCCTTTAGGAGAGATGTGATCAGAGCAGGACAGGAAGGTGGGGACTCATGGGCTGACCCAGAGTTGGGCCTCATGAGGGCCCTCCAGCCATACCACACACTGTGGAAGGCCCTCTGGACTGTTGTGTGTAGTAAAGCAGTCTCATTTCTATCAAGGAGCTGATGGCTTCTGCCCGTTTCCGTATTACAAATACCCCAAGAGGGCATTTCCCGTTTTTCCAGGAGCAGCTCTGAGAACTAATGAACCAACTAACCCAAACAACGGCTGGTCCCTAAATTCCTCCTGAGACTGGAGTATCTGTCAACATTCTCAGCTCTCCAGAATCTATTTCTTTCCCCTGCCTGCCTCCTCAAGGGGTCACCAGGACCTGTGGGGCAGCTCCAGCCTTTTTGGCTGGTGGGGGCAAAGCCATCCACGGCACCATTGCTTCAGTGAGGCAGGTAGAAAGTGGATGTTCAATGTGTACAGAGGCTCTGCGGACAGGAGAGCCAGGGCCGACTCCAAGGGACTCCGGGGCTAGAGGGGAGGTGGGAGGCTGAAGTCATTTTACTGCGTGGACTGTCAGGCATCACTCCCAAAGCACCGGTGTACAGTCAGCCTAGTGCATGCAAACACCACTCTGGAGGCCAGGGTTCCTGAGGGCTTCCTTCTAGACCGGCCCCGGAGGTTCCCAGGCTTCTGAGGGGCTTATTTAATCTNCCGGCGGGTCCTTCGACTATTCTATTTTAAATTGTTCCCTATGGTAGGCTGCATAATGGCCCTTAAAGATATCCACGTCCTAATTCCAGGAACCTGTGAATGTTACCTTATGTACCAAAGGGGACTTTGCAGATATGATTAAGTTAAGGATCTCGAGATAGGCAGATCATCCTGGATTACCTGGGTGGGCCTAGTGTAATCACAAGAATTCTTATAAAACAGAGGCACAGGGAGATTGAAGTACTTATACATGGAGAAGGCGATGTGACAATGGAAGCAGACAATGGAGTGATGCAGCTACAGCTCAGGGAGTGTCAGTGGCCTCTAGGCATGAAAGCGGCAAGGAAGGATTTCCCCCATGAGCTTGTCTTGCCAACATTTAGACTTTAGCCCAGTGAGACGGATTTGAAACTTGGGGTGTCTGGAACAATTTAAGAGAGTAAATTTGTGTTAAGTCCCCAAGTTTGTGATAATTTGTTACAGCAGTCCTAGGGCACTGATAGACACCCATGTGCACACACACCTGCCCACCCTATTCTCCTTCCTGCTGTATTTTCTCCTCCAGCTGTACCTGACACCCTGTATTTTACTTGTTGATGTCATCTGTCTCCCTCACTGAAGTGTCGGCTCCACAGGGGCCGGAGCCTGTGTCTGCTTTGCTCTCTGATAGATCCCAGTGCCTGAGCCAGGAGCAGCTTTTCATGGATTGAATGGGTTGGTGTCCGTGTAGACTCTGGCTAGGCTCCCATAAAGGGGGAGCCTCTTGCTGTGGCCCAGGCACCACAGGATCCTACTGGGCTGTCCCATCCTGACCTACATAGGGCTCCATCCTTCTTGTAGGACACCAAGGCCCTCCTTCTTCCGGCCCTCTGGAAGCCTCGAATGCTGGGAGGTGGCATGTGAGTGGCACACGTGAACCAGGGTGTGGTGTGCCAGGGGCAGCTCTGGTGACTAGCAGGCCCCATCCCCTCCTCCCACCCCCATCTGCCTGTGACACAGGGGAGGCAGTGCAGGAAGGAGGTCTGGCCTGAGTGTCCGGCTCGGGGATATCCTCAGCCTCAATTTCTTGTGTATTAACAGGGATAACTAAGTGAGATAAGTGATGATTTATCCACCCTCATTTTAGTGAGATA